CAGTTACCCTTCCTTTCTAGCTTCTTCTCTCTTTCTCGTTTGTGTATATATATATATTTCTCTCTCTCTCTCTCTCTATCTATCTCTATCTCTCCGTCTTTTTTTCCCCCACGAGATTCTCTCTGGCTGGCACGGTAGGTACCAAAATCAAAACGAAAAATCGTTTCGATGCTCGTACCCGTAAAACTCGATTTATTCTTTAACAAATTCAAACGCTTCGACGGTCCTCGGTGCTCTATGTTCTGTCTCTTGCGTGTGTATGCGTGTGTTCGTGTGTGTGTGTGTGTGTGTGTGTGTATATATATACGTGTTTTTTTACACGTGTGTACGCAGATTTATTTGCATCCCGTGCAACGTTCGTTGAAACGAATTTCGAAGACGAGATGATCCTTCCTTTTCAGTTGTGCTATTCTAAGGGGGGGAGGGGGGTGGGCAGTTTTCAACTTCGATAAAAAATTCAACGCGTGATTAATTTCGTTCAAGGGCCGGGTACTTGATTTGTAAAAATTTAATCTACCGTAATATATCGATTAAATCGTAACTTGTGTCTTCCTTATCGATAATTTTATAAATTTATAGGAAGAAGTGACGATTAAACTTGTTGGCATTTCACAAAGGCGAGACGAGTAAAATAAAGTAAAAGTGGCTGGATGGATCGAATTTTACCAAGGAGTAAAATCTTAACCAATCTTTTCATATTTGGAATCAAGCATTTTCATTTAGATTAAATCGTTCAAACCGATCAAAATCACTGTGTATAAATTGAACGAAAATAATAAGTTTCGAGATTACACGTGTAAGAATCCCAAATAAAAGTTAGAAAATGAAATTCACCTTGGCCAACAGCTCACCATCTACGGCTATCTTCGAATGAAAAACCGCGAGAGATCCTTCCACCCCCTATTCGTCACAACGAATGCAGATACCTCGGCGTATGTGTGTGTGTGTGTGTGTTCGTATATGCGTGTGTGTATGCGTGTGTACGTCAGTGTTTCCTTTTATTAACGCGCCTGTTATGATGTAGGCGCATTTTCAACGTGTCTCGCTAAGGCGTCCTCTTCGAATGAACTACATGACGAGATATATACATATCTCTTATCTTTATGTATATTATTTATAATATATATATATATATATATATATATATGTGTGTGTGTGTGTATGTATGTATAGTATGTATATCATAAAGAATACGAAGAGCCTAGTGTCCTCGCATCGCAATTTTCTTCCTATCACCCGGTGCGGATCACCCGAAACGAGGCGTAACACACGATCCTGAGGTTTGAGAAACCCCGATCAGCTGCATGCCTAAGCGTAGGAGAGACATCCAGGTTATGAACGTTGCTCGAGTATCCCTAGCTTGGATCCATACGTGGTTACAACAGTCGTGGTAATCGTGATCGTCATCGTAATCGTCCCTGTCCTGTTCGCGTTCCTCGCCGTCCGCACCGATGCGCAACACACGATCCTCGTCGACCACCGACTCGGTCGAGCCGGTTGTCTGAGCATATTTGAATCACGTGACGATGATGTGTGGCGCCGACAGTAGGACGGTGATGGTTGCGATGATGGTGAACAGAGTAAAAATGATTAGGCACATTCTGTCGATCACCATCGCCGCGAACTTCCAGTCGTTCGTCACCTTCGTGTTCAACTCCTCGCTCTTCAGCTGATCCGTGATTATCTGGAACAGGGGAGTACGTGTCATGAGTACGACGCTCGTTTTCAAGGGTGAACAAGAATGGAAGAGGGAATAATAATGGTAGATAGAAGTACTTTGGGTGATAAATAGAAATTTAAGAGTCACTTTAAGAGTTTTCATTTCATAAATGTACTTAAAAATAAGTCTTCAACTTTTTAGTTGAGATATTGGTCGATTCTTTTTAAAAAAATTTTAAAGCATTAATCTCTAAAATATATCTTGCTTTTAAGGTATTGGTGTATAATTGAAAATTCCCCTGTGTATGTATATTTGAAATTACGTGGAGCATATTTGTTGCTGAATGCATTTATATAAAGCAGCACGATGATATATAGGGAAAGTCCTAATTATGTCCTTTTAATAGAGTTTCCCTCTTCAAGTTTGATCGTGATTTCGTAACTCTCTCGCTGTTTTCACTTGGGACCAATTTATATAGTCGATGTATATAAACAGTCACATGTAAAACTTCAAGATGTCCATTAATTCGTGCAATAATTATTACCAAAATTAATCGTTCAAGCCATTCGTTCAAGCACATAATTTATTATATTTAAAAACTTTCTAATTCTTAGTATATCGAGCTTTTTACCAATATAATTGTTATAGGAAAACTAATGGATACAGTTAAAGTTGTAAATTATGAATTAGTGTACATTATTTACAATAATTAAAAAGTTGTCAAAATACAATACTAATACAATTTTCAGGAAATAAGTTATAAATAATTGTATTAGTATTTATTTTATTAAATCATTCAACAATTCTCTATAATGCTATACTTATTTAATTTCATATAGATAGAAGCTTTCTATTTTCTCAATTAGCATATTCTATTTAACCTATTTATATATTCTATTTTCTTCTATTTGTTTCTATCGTTATTTTTGTTAGAAGATAATCTTTCCAACTTTAATTAAAATTTGCCTAATGCTTAAAATATTCCAAAAAATGAAAAGAAAATATTAAATATTAACATTTTAATTAAAAGCTTCAATATTGAAATACTTGAATGCTTCCATCTTGGTATCCACCAAGTATTAACAACGAACATTTCCCATTGAAATGCTGTTTAGTCGTTTTTAGATAGAAGAAGCAAATGTACAAGAGAATTCTCGAAACTTGTTCGAATATGACCAAATCCAATTGTCTACAATTGTCCCTATCGAATAGCGTCACCATCGAATAAGAAGTTTCCATCTAAATGCTTTTGCATAATTATAAGCAACGATAGATCTTCCTTGTATGTTTGACTTTCTCGTGTAAGTCTCGACCCGAGGTATAGACTGGCTTTAACAATCCTGCACAAACACTGGTCCAAGAGAGAGAAATGGTTTCATGTTCGTCGACACGCCACGATATACGTGTCCCTCCTATTATGATACTTACACATAATACTTACAAGAAAGTTTCCGCACTTACAAGTAAATTAAAACGAGTGTACACTTGGTAATTAGTCGGAGACCGTGTATATTTCGCAAGAGAACTCGCTAATTGTCATCCTCGTTATTATTAAATGGACGACACTTCTTTCTATTGAAAATAAAGCAGCGAGTCTCAAGTCTGTAAACGTTCAAGTGTTTAAGAGCGCATACGTTTCCTTATGAAAGAGGAGAACGAATTAGTGGCCTAACGAGTTCCTAATTCCTTTCAAAGTTCACCGTGCTATGCCGTGCTAGTTTCTAAGCGTGAATAAAGCTCCACTTGAAAGTTTGAATAAAAATTCGTTAAAAATTCTAAATAATCTTCAAGTAAAAATAAGAAGTGAGAATTTTAGTGTTGTTGAAAAGATTCAGTCGCCTGAAATGTGTTAGAGATTACAAAAATTCACTTCCCACTGTTCTTTTGTAATTTACCCTTAAAATTATATGATTGTACAAATATGATATCAATTCTCGTTTATCCATCGAATCATCTTAGCATCTTTTTTAATCTCCATACGTTAAAAAATAAAAACAGTAAACCCATAGTACTTCTATCTGACACAAAATAGAAATAGATACGCTATTTTTTTGAAAAAAAAAAAAAATATATACAATCGTCAGATGACAAAATTGATTGGATTGCGACGTACCTTAATCTCTTTGAGGATCATCATGAGCTCGTTTCGGGCGCAGAAACACGCGTTTTGAAGTATCGTTTCGACCTGAGGGCCAGGCGTCTCTGGCGGATGCGGATGATGATGCGGCGTGTGACCAATCTGAATCGCTGCCGGATAAGAGGAGTGTGCCAGTGGCGTTGAGTGTTGATGATGCGGCGTTGCAGCGTGGCTGTGATGATGATGGGGGGTCGCGTGTATGTGACTGTGCCCGTGGCCCATCGTGTGATGGTGGGGGCCAGGGGTACTGTACACGTTGTTCAACAGATTATTGTGGGACGCCAGAGCGTTGTCCTCGAGGTCCAGGACATTCGCTAGGAGGGACTTGCTGCTCCTTTGACGAAGCTCCAGATCACCGTGACTCTTGCCAGCACCTGCGCCCGTGAATTGGTATGATAAATGGCCGACAAGAATGATGGTCAATCAACTTTGATGTTGTTATATAAATTTGGAAATGTGATAGAAGATTGAAAAGAAGAATAAATTGATGAACACTGTATTATCTTAAATATTAATTAGCTTAATTTTTGAAAATTCTTTTGATTTTATAGATATAATAGGAAGATTATATGACTAATTTGATAAAATTAATAATAAAGAAATTGATGATTAATGGGAGATGTATGGATATAGCAATTTACAATAAGGAAATATTTTGAATACAATAATAGTGTATGTACAGCATTATCTGTTATAGGAATAGTTAAAGTAAAATAAACAAGGGAAAGGATTTCTTAATTTTGTATATAAATATGAGAATAAGAAATAAATAAAAAGAGAGAATATCTTGTGTATATACAATAAATATACAATCTGTAAAAGAATGGATAGGGATGGTGAATTAAGAAGAAATGGATGATTGATTTCTGGCAACATTTCACTTTCTTCTTAATCTCTTATTGCTTGTACACACATGCACACGACTTGGAAACAAGTCAGGCGTGTTTTCAGGAGTATTATTCTGTGATTCACGTTTTTCAGTGAGAGTGGCTGAGAACTTGGTGTTCGTGTGACGCATTAAAACACATTGAAACACTTATACAAATATAAATAAGTAGTAAATGTTGTCAGTACTTGTGTCGATGCTTTTTCGTGTCACTAAATTACCGGTGACTGGAGACGGTTTTTGAGATTTTTGCGCCTCCCTCTCTTCCTTATCACTTGGTCGTGACATACGAAGTATACAAGGCAGCCAATAAAGGAATACCACTTTCACCTGAAAGTTTGAAGCGAAGATCTATAATAAATAAATTGCTAATTGCTGTACGTTGCTCGCTTCCAAATAATTACTTTAATTACTTTTATTTGGATGAAGATGAAATATAATATAAGAGAAAATAACAAATTGATTTTCTGATGTTATAGAAGAGAGAGAGAAAAAAAAAATTAAGGATTTAATAGCGCATGGCGTTTATGAGATTCTCAAAATCCAAAGGATATGGTAGACAATAAAATAGGTGGACGAGGTGGAAGCTTAGTATCCAGTTAACGACCAAAGTAAACCTGAAGTGTACTTGGAAGCACATGAGCTCACGCTAATTGAAGTCACATATACGGGATGGGATCATCCAAGAAACCACTTCGCACAGTGAGGATAGAGAAAACGAGGAAAATCCTCGAATTTTAGTCATAAGAAATAAAATGAAATGTATTTCATTAAACTTTCATTATAATTTCATATATATATATATATATATATATACGCATTATTTTAGATAT